GTTATCAAAATTATGACTTAATGTGTTTTGGCACACACTATCAAACCTTTTGATTTATATTATTTACGGACAAATAATAATACTTCTACATCTGATATACATTTTCATATCTACAATATTTAAAATATAATTGCTTCGTTTGAATATTTTAGTATTATTCTTTCAATGGAGCCCAGTTGGTATTTTTGTGTTAACATAAAAAAGATCGAAGATATTTGGATAAGGGTAAATTGAGGTACACTAAAAAATTAACCACGATGGATTCATATATTCCCCTTAGAAAACGCGTGCATGTTAAATTTTGGTCTAATTTTCTCATCTTTCTCGTGAGACTTATAATATTACATATTTTACATCGTCTATTTTATATGTTTAAACGTTTGAATTATGTATGTACACATATTATAATTGATGATAAAGAAAACATATATCAAAATATATCAATACTTTTAAAATATTCTTTCATTTTTCTATAAAAAAATCAATAGCAAAATATGAATCTAAAGAAGTATAGAAGTAAAGTACTGTTCGTAGCCAAGACATATTTTGGCTGCCAGCCATGTTATGATTCCTTAAGTTTCATCTTGAAACTTATTTAAGATCATAGAAAGTCAAAAGTAATTCTATATAAATTTAATATCATTGTGGCTGAACTAATCACGTAATTTTCTGGATAATCCCTTCCCATTAGGTATAATCCAATTAAATATAGGAATGAAAATAAATTGAGCTCGACATAGAATATAAAAATTTCTGCGATAAGAATATGATTTTCCATCATATTACATTGTATTGTTATTTTTAACTGGAGCACTAACTTATGTTTGAGTTGATAAGGCTCGTTGTAAGTTCCGCCCACGCAGCAACAACAAAAGACGAGATATTTCCTATGGCCAAGATTTATGTATGTTCTGTGACTTCTAATTGTGAGCTCATCTTGACGTTGGATGTTTTCATCGGATCTTTTCCTTATAAACGAATACGTGAAAATAGATTCATTAATATATCTTTATGATATTAAATATGTTATTATATTCTATTGAACAAAAAAGTATTGATTGAATTGAAAATAAATTTAATTTTTGTCCTTTTCATCATAAATCATAAATAAATTATCGCTAGTTACGGAATTTTAATCAAAATAAAATTAATAAAATATGATATCAATTACTGATATGATATCGGTACTTCCCTAATGCTGACTTGAAAACCATAAATATGTATGTATTTAAAGAGAAATGTATAAGAATTCTGTTCCAATTATTACAATCAATCTGTGGGTGTATTTATTGTATGAACCAGAACTAAAGTGCCGCATCACGGCGTGGTTGAAGTTGGAAGGCTGCCAAGCCAGCGTTCATCGCTTGCTGCGCTTAATCGCCACCACTTTGCGTCTTCATACAACAATTAACTGAACACACTTTGATTCCATGTCTTAAGTAAGTGTAACTAAATGTATTTATCTTAAATTATCAAGCGTACAAAATACCCTCATAGGTATTATAATATAATTAATTTAACATATTGTATACTGTGACTTCTTAAGTCAATAGTAGCGATATCACCTCGTTTTCCCCTTGCATGGGAGATATGTTCTAATCATCTGAGAACGTCCGAAAAGATTTAAAGCATATTCATCCTTCCTCAACTATATATAAGATAGAAAACTCTTTGAAAATAATCCTACGAAGGGCTGAAATGAGTTACCCTTAATCATAATACATTCCATGTAAATAGGACGAACATTATTATAAAGAGTAATCTTATCTTACTTCACGTTATGTCAATAGGTTAGAACGAGACATCTTTCATACGAGTAGAAAAGGGTAAAAGGGACGTAACACATTCAATAAATTAAGTTGTCAGGTTCGATACATTCTATTTATCATATACTATGTAAAACGAGGTCAATACCTATTTATCAATATTGTATACAAACATATTGTTATTAAATTAATAAGATGTTTACTTTAAACTATTACTAACTTGGAGAATATAACATAAACTATTATATGTTCAGTATTAAAATAATTTATTTATATTACATGTATCAGCAAAACAGGAGTCAGTGGTGGTCTAGTGGTTAAAAGGCTCATGCATGAGGGCGCGGGTTCGATCCTGGTCCTGGCAAGTACCGATGTGATTTTTTCGAGTCATATGTACTTCCTAAGAGTATTTAGACATCACTGATTAATGCATTCCCAAAGAGGGTTGATTTCAGGCAGGCGGCCGATCGAAAAACAATTAGCCAAAACTATTCACAACATGTCAGGTAGACCCTGGCTAAAGCTGGGAAATTGCCAGGTAGAAGAAGTATCAACAAAACAAACACTAACTTTTTAAAGATTTTTCATACATTTTTCAACACACTCGTTGAAAACGGCTGTTTTGAAAAGTCATTCAAGATTCTGACACTTGTAAAAAATATTAAATGGCAGTACTCACAGTGAGGAACTTAATCACTTCTCTTTTTATATATATATATAAGTTCAGAAAATATAATTTAATTTAAATTGAATTGTTTTGCAAAAGATAAGATCTCGTGCATATGTTCTAAGATTCTATCGAGGATTCACACTTGAAAAAGAGAAATTGCTTCAATGATTTTACAACGAATACATAATATTATATTACCTCAGTTATTCAATCTTAAATATTTGTTTAATGTACATATATACTCAAACAATATATTTTTATTCGCTTAGATGTGATTTATCCAATTTAATTGCTATCAGTTGTTATCCATTTTTTGCATGAAATAATAGTATTGGCATCGTCGAAATTAAACATGACAAGCATTGAACATAACATCAGCGATATGAAAATGTTTGATGAATTTTGAACATTTATCTATTAGTTACGGATTAATTAATTTGAAAAATCAAACAAGATCTTTTTAGTACTAGAAATTTATTTTCAAATTTGTCAATAGATAAATTCTTTTATTTGATTTCGATGAAACTAATATTTTCGGATTTACTACGCGGTTTTTTAGTTTCGACTATAAACTACATACTCCCGACGTTTCGCCTACTTTACAGTAACCATGATCACGGGAAGACGAGATTGTCAAAAATAAAAAACCGCGTTGTAAATCCGAAAATGTAAGTTTTTTTTTTTATGTGAAAGGTGGCAAACGAGCAGACGGCCCACTTGATGGAAGGTGGTTACGGTCGCCCATGGACATCCGCAACATTTTGTTGCGGATGCTTTGCCAACCTTGTTTTTTGGGGATAGGGAGGGGTGGGAATAAGGAAATGGAAGGAAAGGGTAGGAATAGGGAAAGGGCAACCGGCTCTCTCACTCATCAGACGAAACGCAGCCAGTAAAGGCTACTTCACGCCGATCTTCTGTGAGAGGGTGGTACTTCCCCGGTCGAGCCAGCCCATGTTCGAGCTGTAGTAACTCACCACAGCTAGGCTCTACCACCTTTAGTTTCATTTAAATAAGTACTCGGGAAAATCTTAGATCTCATTATAGGTAATTTCAACTTTTTATTACATAGATACTTATGACATTAATTTTTTTTATTATCGATATACATAAGAAATTCATTATTTATCTTTGTTTTAAAATATAAATAGATTAATAGCAGAAGAAGAAAATATTATCGACGCACATATAATAAAATATATTTCAGTCTATATTTATGTTGGCTGTTTCTCTCAAAATTTTATTAATATTATTCTAAATAATATTTGTCATTGCATATATTTTCTTGACTCACTGATTTTCGCAGTAGCATTCCCGTTTGCGGAGGTAATATTTATATCAATCTCTGAGTTATTCTTATACAAAAGAAATAAACAGAATAAGTTTTCAGTGTATATTCAACATAAGAATAAGTTTAGAAACCATCCATACAAAAAGTAATATTATTATATAGTATTTTAGTCATTTTTATCAACCTGTAATGTTTTATATACTTATACAGGGTGACTGGTGAATTACTATCAATATTTAAGGAGAATACTCGGTACATGATTCTCATTCGAATTATGTAAAAAAAATAGGTACTTAATTTTTGACCAAATTTCCGTATAAATAAATAAAGTGTGTACACGTTCCAACTGTTCCAAGTGTGGACGCGTGCGGCGGCGTGCTGATACAAAACCACGCCCCCGCCGCGTGTGTGTGAGTGTGTGTGTATACCTAATCTGTAGGGTGTTCACACGATGCGTAATTAATTACACAACTTTTGGTTAACTTTACTTAGAAGTTTATTAATATTTATGTTATATTAATTTTTATTCTGTCATATATGATCGTCAACTATCACGTCCTCAAATATCGATAGTAATTCACCAGTCACCCTGTATATTGTTAAATACATCAAATGGTCTGTATGTATAAATGTTAAATGAGAATTGACACATATTGATTATACATTGAATACGGGTGTCCCCAATATTACAAGCCTCTCCACGAAATCGGAATCCTTTATATATAATTATTAGAGCTTGACGGACTCAATAAAATGTTTTACATGACAGAAGATTACGATATTTAAATGAATATTTAATAACATATCAAATATATAAAAGAAAATCGTGCTAGTTACACTATTTATAACTCATGAACGGCTGTACGGGTTATACTGAAAATATGTGGAAAGATGGCTTAAAACCAGGGAAAGGACATAGGATACTTTTCATCAGATAAAAAAAAAAAATTGTTGATGAAATCCATAATTTTCTTATATTCTGTCTTTAATCAGGAACACAGTTCGTGGGTTAGTCTTACATTCCTATTTCTGAAACTAGCGCAAACGAAGACACAGACAAACACTAGTATTGGATAAAGAAAGAGATTTTGTTCAAAGTTTTACAAATTATCGATTACGTAACATTAAAAAGTGTCCACGAAATTCAAGTCAAAACTAACCGAAATGTACTCTCTGAAGGAGTTAAGTTTAAATATTAATACTATCAAATCCATAAAACTCAAAGTAAATGGTATAATTGAGAAAAAAATCAGTGTATTTGTAGGGAATGTCATACCTTTCCTAAAGGCGGCAAAATATTGGAGGAATTACTTTGGAACTTGATTTGTCTTTTACCACCTATATGTACCATGAGAATAAAATAGAGTTCATCACAGGCGACAGAAAAGCATTAGTTTAGTTTAGAAATAACCGACAATTTATTTCTAAATTTATGATACATTTAAATCGTTGATATAAATTTTTTAATACATAACAATTATAATAAACTCTGGATTTAACACCACTCACATACATCTACATGCAAAAAGCTACTATTTTAAATACCTGTCGAATAATACGTAAGTGTTTGGAATCTGAGAATGAGTCGACTGTACTGACTTTTTTCACCCCCCAGAAACACTTGGTCACTGACTCTTGTGACTGGAATATTTATCTCTATTGTTAGGGAGATATATAGGATAAACATAATAATAATAATATATCAGTCAGTGGTGGCCTAGTGGTTATAGGACCGCCCCTCATGCACGAGGGCACGGGTTCGATCCTGGCCCGGGCAAGTTCCAATGTGATTTTTCCGAGTCATATGTACTTTCTAAGAGTATTTAGACATCACTGATTAGTGCTCAATCCCAAAGAGGGTTGATGTCAGGCAGGCGGCCGGTCGTAAAAAGAAATAGCCAACTATTCACAACATATAAGGCAGACCCTGGCTAAAGCTAGGAAATTGCCAGGAAGAAGAAGAAGTATAATAATAATAATATATACAATATAATGACAACTATGATACCTCCCTTTGTACTATATTTCCGGTATGACATAAAAAATTAACTAAGATGTTTTCATCTGTCATGTTACCAAATTAATATAAAATTAAGTACGGCGCCATAAACTTGAAATTGTCTGCTAGAGTAAATTACTTCAGTCTTTATGCCAAGTTCCGTGAATTCAGGTTTACTCTCTTGACTTTAATAGAAACGGAATGTATTTAAATTGAAAATTCACACTTTCATTGTTTTTTATGTCAACGCATAGATTTTACTATGAAAATCTACTACTATAAATACTACTACAGAAAGAATAATACTATATGAATTTTATTCTCTACTATAGTGATAAATAAGTAGTGAATAGTATTTAATATTTTAAATATAGACACATCAAAGATGTCTAGGGATGTTAAATGGAAGACTTAAAAATTACACCCAAAAATAAAATCACTAAAAAAATCTTTGATATATCTCTTTTTATGTATTGCAAGTATAAACCATAATATAACCTCCGATTTCATATAATAAAGTAAAAATTAAATATCTCTAGGTAAAAATATATATGTATATATTTCGTGAACGTCTCGGACGTGCATCTATAAGTATTGGTAAATTCAATAGTGTCTTATTGAATTTGCATTGCTTGTGAAATCAGTTTCGTATCGATTCTTCAGTTCGAAGGTTACATGTGGCTGGATAGGTTTGTTACTTGAAGAATGACGTTAGCTATTCAGATGAACACTGGATGGTCATTTATCTTACAGTAAGCTTCGTTCAAACATAAATATATAAATTATTAAGAGATCGTTCATATTAAATACAGTATAACCTGTATTTAAGATCTCAATGGAGGTTTTATTAAATATATATAATTTCTTTATTAATTATGTTTTGTATTGATTTTATGCTCTAAATAACATATATTATGTGTTTCATATTATTGTTGCTTGTAACTATTTTCATAAACTTGCCAACGGACAAACTTTGATAAGTTCTTGTTCATAGAATGTATCGATGGAAACTAATACGGGCTTCAACGTGTATTAACATAAATTAATACTCGTAATTTAGATCAAAGTTATAATAAAAATTTCCGTATTCCTCAAATATAATGTATTTTTTTGTATGTAATAACAATGTTCTTTTTTAAGTTTGTTAAACAAAATTGTGAAATGAAAATGTGGTTACCTCAATTTGAGAGTTAATTGATATAAAATAAGTGCTTAATTTCATTATATCATCGAGATTTAATAAATTTTATACAAAGAGATATATTTATTAATTAAATTAGGATATAAAATACATAGATATAAGTATATGATATTTATATCGAGGCAAATTGTTTAAAAAAGTTCCTGGTTAGATTAATATGTATAAATATAACAGCAATAAATAAAAAAAATATTTCCATAACTCATTGTATGTAATAATAAATACTTAAATACATAACTTGCACTCTTTACTTTAAAATATGTAAATTTAAGCAATCACTTTTCCATATTAAGTTAACATTCATTATTTTTATTATCTAGCAATTCCTCATCTCACATAATTCTAATTTATAAGATAAATTGTAAAAACTCTTTATAATAATATCTTGTCAGATCAATAACGTCAGTTAAAAAAAGTTAATTATTTTGCGATTTATTCCTATAAGAATATTATACTTTTTAATCAAATATAATCATAATATTCGTTACAATAATATTATAAAGTTGATACAAATCGTGTTTTTAATGTGTGTAATGATGGAGTAAGTGGAATAAACGGATGAATGGTTATATAGAACGAAACTGAGATACTGTAACCAACTGTGCAGAAGGAGGTTCAGTTTTTTAGATAAATACAAATAAAAAAGGGCTCAAAGCGTAGAATGTTGAGTAACAGTGAATATGAGTTTTTGTACATCATATATTCGTTAAAATTCGTATTAAATTGAAGGAATAATATCAATTTCTTTTGTAATATTTAGTCTCTATTAGAAGTACAGTCTTATTTTAGGAGTTTTTTTTATTTTATCATAGGAAGAGGTTCGCTGTGTTAAAATTACTTTGAACAAATCGTCCTTAAACGTACGTAGGTAGCATGTTCTCCCGTCAACCGCAACGGGGCGCCTCGTTCGATGTGACACAGATAATTTCCGAAACAACCGTTCCCGGTCAGAATCTGGTTCATTTAAAAGGTCAGCCACCACCCTAACGAATCCCCATGATGTGTTCTACCACCTCTATGATGACGCCCCACGACATTATCCCACCGAAATAAGTCATTCACCTGTACCCTAAGTACGAGTTATTGTCGTCTGTGGAAGTAATCCTAATTTAAATGTTTTTACTTCATAAATCATACAAATTGGGGTCAACGAATTTATTCAATGATTTGTATGTAAAAATGTGGATATACTAATTCTTTCCGAGTTAAATTCTAGAGGATTCCATTAGTATCTGAGGCTTCTATTTTAAATATTACGCGAACATAAATACAGTCTATTCGGGTCGCGTTAAAATGATAGCACCTTACTATAAAATCTATCTACAACCGTGAAACGAGTCTTGGCACGCAACTTTATGGGCTTGTTTATTTTTATGCTTGGCGTCAAAAATCATCGTGACCATAAGGCGTATAACGGAAGCCACGCTTTGTTTAATCCACGGTTATTTTCTCAAATATAAATCGGATATGCTGAAGTAATGAATAATTTTTAAGATGTTTATCAGATAAGAACGTTTTAAGTTAAATATCTCACGCACATTCAGATTTAATGTAACGAACAGTTGTTCGGCTGTTGTACCACGCGATTGATTAATTATTTTAACGACTTAACTTTTGATTTACACAATTTTAGTAATTAATAAGGCATATTTTTTCGATTCAAACAATTAATTTGTAATCTTTTCTAGCCATAAGCCAGATATTGTTCGTATATTATTTTGTTGCCAGCAACTACACCCGTTTCACTACTGAACATTTCAGTAATGTTTTAATAATTATAAGGTTTAAATTAATTTATACTTTAATTGAATCATTTTTAATTATTTTGTATCGAGCGAGAGGTAAAGATTATGTTCTCCGTTTCAACATATAAATATTATTGTTAAACAATAATTTGTATATTAAAAATAAAAAGAATATAATTGTTCATTTAATTTAATATTTCCGTATTCTTTCGTGACATGGATAAATGATTATTAAATACATTTATGTACATTATCATTAGTTTGTCATTAACGACGTTGATAGGAAGCCGGATAGTGTGAGACGTCAGATTTCCGCTCGGATTATCCGTAGTTTTAGTTATTTTCGTCTGGCAATGTCTATTAACGTGGGCTTCATTCCAAATATTATTTTACTTATATCACGCCATTTTATTTTATATAATATTTCTAATGTTTTATTCTGTGTTACGTTCTTAGTATGTATGTTTTATTGTATTTTTTTTTGAAGTTTAATGTACGTATTAATTAGGAAATTCATAAGTTTCCTCCTATTTTTATGCATTTTTTAAAATATAATAACTATGAATTGACAGTTGAATATGACAAGTAAAAATCTATTTTATACATAAAAAGACACACACACACACACATGTTATGTATTCAACATTGTTATAACTTTATCAACCTACTCATTTATTACATTAGGAAGTATTGTGGATTACAAGCAATACAAGTCTAAGCAAAGAAACCAGTAAATGATGTAGATTAAATATCACATGTTGATAATCTAATAATCTGACCTGACAAAATGTAATAAAATGATTTACTGCTCTAATACCCTATTTAAACATGTATATACATAGTTTCTTTATGTATTACCATAGGGTAATACATATATAAAGGTTATATTAATACTATTATTAATCATATAAATAATTTTACAATACCTACTCAGTAAATATAATAATAATATTTAAAAATGGTAAACCCAACGAGCTTTTCAATTGGAATAGACATTAGATTTCATAACGTTATTTGACCAGGATATTTGGGAATATGGAAGCACAATTAAAACATAATTGTATATGCAGGAAATGCTGTAATTATATTTACCTTGCGGCATCCACAGTTTACAATTAAATAGTATGTAGCATCTGTTTTATTTTACATGTTTTAGTTTTGTAAAACTAAATGAATAAATTTCAGTAATAATTAAAAAGTATATTTATAAGTTGCAATTGTGAACGACATTAAGAAAACTGTTACCACAGACAAAGATCAAATAATATGTACAATGACAGACCATAGAGAATGAGGAAATATAAAATATAATAGTATTCACGGTGGCTTTCGTTATGAAGACCTTATTTTTTTCTGACGACACATCAAATTATAAGGAATAATCTGTTATACAATTTCGTGTAACA